TTTAAAAAATGTCAAGCTTTGGCAAAAACAATAAGAATACAAATAAAGTAGTCTCTCCATTTGTAATTGTGAGTCATGTGAGATAAAGCTTACAATCACTGACATAGTTATTACAATTCTGTCATAAACCAAACAACCACCAATAAAAACAATCACTCTGAATGAATCATTTATGACACATTAATGGCTGCCTTTAAAGGTAGGTAAACTCTATTCTGCAAATAAAACAAAGCATAAAGTGGATGTAGGTGAGTTTACTTTCCACTACAACCTTAATTAACACCTGGACGCTCTCTTAATCAACATTTAATAATCGAACTGACAAAAAAGAAACATCTTGGTTGACAATTGAGAAGCTTTCATCACCACTAATTATGAACTGCTTTTGTTATCCCGGGCCACATCTAATTTCCTAGAGGAAGTGAGTCTGACTGAGTAAGTGATAATGTAATTCGTGACCACACACCTGAGACCCACCAGGTATTTTTGGTTGTTGACTCAGCCTGTAGGGATTATTAGTAACACATATGTTACATGTGTTTGAGCCATCATTAAAAAATCAGTTTTTATTTTAGCATTTATATGACTCATACTTAATTGTGCCCTCCCGCCCCCAGTATATACACAATATGTTCTGAGACTGTGTTTTTCTGAGTTGCGTTTTGTTTGACCTTGATGCAATGTCTTTCAGCAACACTGTTTGGTTTTCCTGTGGACATGTGTTCACAGAGACATACATAAATAATGACAGGAATCATACTAACATGGTGTTTTGTAAATTTACAAAGCTTGGATATTACAAAATGTCTTTTTCATATTTTTATATTCTCCACTAAAGAAAAACAGAAAAAACATATAGGTTAGTAATTGTTGCAATTATTCATAAACAGTTCCGGTGTTAAAAGACTATGCTGAAGTGAAATGAGGTATTATATTAATTTTTGCCCTCTGAGATAGATTGTAAAATACGGTTAATCCAATCTGTCAAACCATCCAAACTTAAGTTACCTTGAATCCTTTACAGTTTTGTGGTATCAGTTTAAAAAGATATCTTGTCTAATTTTGTAAAAAAGACAACAAAAATATAATATATGTGTGCAACCTTTGCTGCATGCATGAATATCCAATTGTACAGGAAAAACTGCAGCTGTCAAGTTCTCACACGCTGCAGAGTTCAGTTATTCATTAATGTCTATGGATCCCTTGGGCAGTTTCTAACCTCAAATTGTTCACACTTGTGTTTGTTTTTTCTTGCATTTTCCTCAAGAGGAAAGACTCAACTCTGGCAAGCCTGCATACTTATACCCATATACCCCGAATAAGTGTAAATCAACAAAACAGTGTGTGACAGAGTGTGAATGTTGTATGCAAAACAGAATTTCACAGCTGGTTTGTGATGGCTTTACACTCCATTAGATTGTTGTGAGCTGGCAATACGTTTGCCATGCTTCATACAGAGCAGAGGAGGGCAGTAGTTGTGAGGTGATACCAACTGTTCTTTTAATGACATTAAATACTCACATTTTGATCTGTTTCTTTTAACCTACATCCCTCTAAGAACACTGAGCAATATTGTGAAAATCATAATCAGGGTTGTTTAGAGGTTGTCCACAAGGCTTCCGGACTTAATATGCTGGATAGGTATTTAATTGTAGATACTGCAGATACCTCTGACAATGAATGTGGTAAGCTTTATAGAAAGCAGATCTTCTTGTTTCATTTAGCAGCATATTGATTACAGTTGCGGTTTCTTTTGGTGTCTTCACCTCTTCTTTCTCTGTAGTGTTTTAAAGGGAGATTTCACAGCGCTATTGGACAGCACAGCATCATGTGCCTATCCATGTATGGACAGCATTTAGACAACATTGGTTTTATTCAGATGTAGCCTTTAAGTTCCCCAGTGAGAGGAAATAACGTGAGATATGCATCAGAATGTCATTATTTCATAGTCAGCAAAAGCTTGCTGTGATATGGCAGATTAACTCAGCACTGACAGTCAATTTAGCGATGGCACCGAGGCCAGTGGCAGCCTGCGACTTTTGGCGGACTGGAGATAAAACTTTTTTCAAATGCCAGCTAGTCTGTGGCATTTAGGGACGTGTGATCCTTTTCATATAATCTGCCTAAATGGTCACAACTACCCTGGCCTGCCAATGATAATTGAGGTCAGTCAAGAACAACAATGTGAGGTCAGAATCACAGGCAGCCTTGTGAGAGGGTGGATCTCAGATGCCACAGTTGCCAGTCGCTGTTTCTGTTTTTTCTTTTTATTCAGTCTTACTCACTGTACATTCTCATTGTGCGTCTGAGGTTGTACAAATAATGTCTGGGTGAAGATATTATTCCATGTCCTTAGCATAACTTTGTACAGCTTTTGTAGACTAATGGTTCTGCTTTCTGTTGCTGTTGCTGCTGTTATCTGTCAAAGCTATTAAAATGAAATGCAAATAAGATTTTCTGTGTGGAGAATATTTTTACATGTTGCCACATAATGAGCCAGAATGTGAGAATGAATGCTGCAAATGTGTTTAATGTGCTAAAGACCCAGGCTCTGAGTGTGAGAGCTTCACATTAACTTGACATTATGTCCTATTACATGAAATGGCAATTACTTAGGCCTAAATGTACACACAAAATGTCTACAGTTGGGGACTAACAATTCTCTCATTTGCTGTGTCTTATCATGGGTATTAATTCTGGGATTACTGTGAGTGATCCAGTCCTCTTTAAAGCATTCCGTCAGAGCTACTCAGTGCAGCAGGAAGAGCTGTGCCAATGCATCTTTTCTCCGTAATTTCCGCGCTTCACTCCTAATTTTTTCTGTAATGCCTTACAGGAAACTCATTTGGATTAAGGTATGTCTCATTGTCTGAAATTATTCATTTCAGACAAATGTGATTTTTCCACTGACAATGTGAAGAAAAACATGGTGAGGTATGAGAATTTCCAAAATAATATCAATTTCACTTATTTTTGCCACTCAGTGATAGTTATGTGGATAACCCTATACGTACACTATTAATATTATACTATATTAATACTACATTTAGTGTAAATTGGGTATGTCACTTTTTGGAATAAAATAACAAGGCTTATTATATTATATTTTCCCTTTGTATACTACTGTGCTTGTTCATCATTACCAATTTAAAAAACTCCTGACCAGTGGCTATTTGGTTCATGAAACCTTTCAATGTAGCATAAAAACTGTAATAGCAATATTATTTAGCAGTGACAGATATAGACAGTCAGAAGTGTGTTTAACCAACATTCACCTCAATATTTCAGCACAGGTATGATTTGATAATAATTTGTTTGCAAGTAAATAGTCGTTTTACTTGCCTTATTTTCATCAATGGTACGGTGATTGAACTAACAGTAGGTGGCAGGAGTGTCTAGTTTCACGATAGTCCCAATCTTCTCCATGTTGTTATCACACCTCAATTACACTACATCCAACCTGTTATCTCTGCGAGTCATCATCTAGGATACTTCCCGTGTGGCTGGTCCAAACAAATACCCACATCTTCTGAAAAGAGTAATGAATGGAGGACACCCACTTAATGAGACTCATGGGTCAGACATAATTCAGTTTTGCTCTATTTAGTGTTAAATTATTGTAACAGTAGATTGTGACCTTTCCCCAAACATACTGGAAAGTCTGTGAATGCCACTATCTGTAATTTCCAATGGTGCCGTATATAACAAGTGTTATTACCTGTTTTTCAAGTGAATATCTTTCACATGCCTATTTTATACATAAATAAATACTTATGTAGTGTAGGCTGGCAAGCTATAAGTTAATAGGTATTTTTCACTTTAGAGGTAGACTTATTGGGCAGCTATAAGACCAAACCTTAAATAGATGGTTCCTATTGCACTAGGAACCAGAGGAAATAGGAGATTTCTATTTCTGTCCTGCTGCCGACACAGACGATGTGTCACAGATTATAACAAAAGGGTAGCGTGTAAAAAATATAGACTATCATCAGCTACCTCCCACTAAAGTCTGTCATCTCTTCCTTCTCTTGACAGCGTCTGACCCTCTCATGCTACTAGATAACATCAGAAGTGACACTGAGCAAACTTTTTTGTCAAGAATACATCTAGCTTCCCGGATCTGTTCTCACTTGTGCGTGAGCTCCCCGCTTACATAAACGATGACTCACTAATTACTGGGAATCACAAATGATTATCATGATGAAGTTAGCCTTTCACCCTACAACACCCTACAAACACACGCTGGTTGCGAGCCACACTTCATCCTCTAATATCTGGGAGGGAATCTGATTTGCCCCTGAGTGGTATGCATGCAATGCAACACACAGTAGTCACAATATATGTATTTTCTGATGTTAGATATTCATAACATGCTATAGCAAGTGATGGATCTTACAATTGTAGCTCATACAGTATGTTGTACTGTATCCAAGTTATATGAAAAAAAATATTCTAGATCTGTGTGTGAACACCGAAATAAAAAAAAATACTTTAGCATTGTTGTACTGTACAGTTTTACAAAGCTCCTAGCATGGCTGTGGAGTGTTAATCTTGTTTTACTCTGCTTGTACATTCATACTCCACTTAGATGTTACTGGATAAATACAGTTGGCTATAGGATACTAAAAGATATTACTTAAAAAAGACCAGCTTTACATCTTTTGTACAATTCTAACGTAGCTGGAAAAATATAGGCAAAAATAAAGTGCTGCTTTAGTAATATTGTTTAAAAGAATCAGCCCAAATATGGCAAGCCTTAGAAACTCATCCTATAAATAATGGGTGCCTGTCAGTGTGATGACAGAAAGACCTCACAGGTAATAGGAATCACTGAGATAACACTGGGTTACTTATTTTTCTAGGCGATATATATGATAATGAGTGACTGCTGATGTCAGACTGAGTGGGGTGGCTTTCATTACAGTGATTCAGCCAACTCCGTAATATGCTAATTTCTATTTAAAATGAAACTCAGAGTTTTTAAAGCACATGTCATGCACTTTCACAGTGTCTCCAAATGTACAAGGCGTAATTCTTTATTTTACAGCATTCAAAGGTGCAGTTTCTAAAAATGCAGTGCAATGTCGAATAGCAAGTAAACATGACAGGTTACAATATAAAAGCACAGCACCATTGGCCACTGTACAACAGTGTTATGTGAAGCTACAGTTGGCTAGATACATTCCTGACAAAAAAAGGTTTACTTCCAGCCTTAAAAACGTGCTGTATGACCATGGGGCTTATTGCATATCCATGTCATGGTTTTGGTTCAACTGACATAATAACTCCCCTACATTCTCACAGACGTGACTACAAAAGATACATGTTTGTGCCTTAACATTGAATATTACACATAGACTACATATAATGCCAGTTGAGTTCAAAATGTTTTATCTTGCACATTCATTTAGTACAAATACACTGACCTGAGATTGGAATTCACAATCTGTTACCTACTATGGTATATGGATTGATAGAATACAAACCCAGGAAAGCTACTACTCACTACTACACTGTAGTTTCAAGCCTTTGATTTGCTGAGTGTAGGCTATAATAATTAATCACCACAACCTGTGAGGGCATCAATCCACAATAAGTGCTACTGGCAAGGAATGGTGGCTGTCAAAATTAAATAGTTAAGTCATATTATTTGAAGTGTTGAAGGGTTTTATACCTTTCTTTAAAAAAAACACAGGTGGCATTGGCCTTCTTTCTTTCTTCCAGTTCCTCCTGCATTGTTTTGCTGATAGTGAAACCTTTTCAGATAATCAACGGAATTTAATTAGGATGCTTTTCCATTGAGAAAATCTGTGATCTGTCATGTCTTATTGAAAGATAATTATTCTATTCCATCTTAACAACTTTGGGAGCATCAACAGCTTTTTGTTTAGAGGGGGTCTTTCCCCCCTCTTGCTCAGTCTTCCTGGGCAGTCTGGGGCTGCCAGCAGCTTTCCGGGCGGTCTGAGGACTGGAGGAGCCGGCAGCCATTTTGCGTTGAAGTAACGGGCTCTTGGAGCCCTTGGGCTTTGTTGGTGTCAGTAAAGAGTCCATGACCTTTAGTGACCTCAGGCTGAGCAGACCACAGAAGTAGTTACACTGGTGCTGGGAGACAAACTGCTCAAAAACTTTGGGATTCCCTTCAACAGATAAACCTTGATGCCTGCAGCAACAGACGCGAAACACAACAAAATCAAACATTACAGTCGTGATCTGTATAAATGTAAATTACTGGTAAAATTAGGTTTTCACAGTATAATTTACAGAAACAGCACAATACAAATATACTGACCCTGTTGATTTGACTGAAATTCCCACATTGGTGATCTTTGTGTCAACACCTGCAAAATAACATCACGCATTTACTTTATTTTTCTGTTGTTTGGGTAATATATTCAAATGCGACAGACATGCAGTGGGAACCACATTAACTCCAGTACAAAAAAGTATTGGAAATGAAAAAAATTAAATTGGGAATGGAGTTCCTAGAACTAAACATGCTTAAAATCATAAGTTTAATGCTGTGTAACTAATGGTGTGTAATGGACCTGAAGATGTTTAAAGTACACATTTAACTTTAAGATAAGGGTTGAGAAGGTAAAATTTTAAGTAGCTCAGCACAAAATCATTTTTGCTCTCACACTTTTCCTTATTGCAAGCAATATTTTACCTCATTGGCTGTGGAAAGGTGTGTAGTACATCAACTTTTGAGCCCCTTTGACATACTACTGATTTTACCTCAAACTTTCCAAAGGAAAAACATCAATTTCACATCACTCTGTTGTATTTAAGTGTGAGCTTACCTTCTAGCCGAGTGAGTAGCAGATTGCCATTGGTCCACTGAAAGATCCAGTGTTGCAGGGCACAGCACTTCTGCTCCACCTCAGAGCCGGTCCTCGTATCTAGCCTGCCTGTGTGATCCAGGGTAGAGTATTTCTGATAGATTCCTGTTAGATCAGCCTCCACTTTGGCATAAGGGACAGTGTTTGCAGGTCGGTACATTAAGTAGACTGGAATCACCCTGTGTAACAAAGATTGGCATAATGTCACTGACCTTTTTAATGTTTAATGGTCCATACATTGTGTACAATACTCATTAGAACTTTTGATGAAGAGTAATCTGATTGTACTTACTCGATACAGGGCCCAAAGTTTTCAATCAGTCTTGCCTCTGTGCTGAAGATTTTGCAGTATTCACGGGCCAGGTTCTGAATTTTACACTCCTATATTCAGCACATTGGAGAATAGCCAGTAAAGATCAAAGCTCAACCTACACTAGTATGTGTATTCAATCTCAATTTGATTAGTTTTACAGTAATCCTATGTGGGTGGCAGGAATGACACCCGACTGATTATTTTTAATGCTAAATTTGTTAGTTTATTGAATGAATATTTAAATTTAAGAACAAATTACAAAACCAAACCTTTCTTACAAACCTGCTTGACAATGTCCAGGTTCCTGTCTATGAGGCAGCTTTCTCCTTTGCCTCCATAGGCGACGGGGTTGCATGCCTTGATGATACATGTATTTCCAGACTCAAACAAAGGCTCCAGACCATAGATGACTTTTGCCCTCCAGACCTTATGTGAGCAGCCAACACCAATATGAAATTCCTGCATCATTATACGGCCAAATAATTTGTTACCCCAGATGCCAGAATCAGCGACACCCTTGTTGAATATCATGGGTGTCATTTCAATTTCTTCTCCAACTGCATACAGAAGAATGTGAGAATAATGGTCAGAAAAACATTTGGGCTCTGATGCTGTAAAAAAAAGTGATCTAAACATGTAAAATCTCAACTTACCACCAAGGTCCTCACGTAGGGCCATTCCAGCCAAGACTGTAACAAAGTGGGAGAGAAGACAGAATGAGACTGGTTGTGGGCCAGTAATGCATTGAAAAGTATTTATTTTATGCCAAATGTAGGGAAAATAGGTACATACTATCTGCACTAAGAAGATAGTCTGTTGAGTCTGTCCCATATTCATTTGTGATTGTGCATCGGTAAACCCCAGAGTCTTTGCATGATGCCTGAACAATGGCAAGATTGACCTGAGTTTCATCGCCTGCACTGAGAAACAAACAAATAACAAATAACCCAGAATGCGTCAGAAAACATGTGGGTTTTACAACCCACTATTATAAGTCATCACTATTATGTTAGGCGAGTAATTGGAAGGCTATTTCAATAGCAGACTCTGGACACTTACTTTCTTTTAATCTGAGCAATCTTCTCTTCATTTCTGTACCATTTGATTGTAGAGTCACTAAGAATGTTGAAAAACTGGCACCATAATTTCAGGTGTCCTGAGGCATCTGCAAAGGTTTCACCCCTGATCTTACGAATAACTTGCGGGGCTAAATGGAAAGAGACACAACACAGAAAACATGGTAAAGATTCAAACTCTTCTATATCCTAATTATGAAGCAACCCTAATGAATCCAGTCTGATACTATATATGCCATAAATAATTCCCATATTCCATAGTATAGTGGGATTGTATAAATAGTATACTGGGACAATAATCAATCAACAATACACTAGAGTCATTTTAGTATGAATGCTGGCATTTTTAGTACTGGATATTTCAGTGTTAATGACAACACAGTATTCATCACGTCAGGTGAGCTCAAACAACATAAAAATATAGTGTAATTATAAAATTAAAACGTTTGAACACTTTAGTCCACCAGGCTGCGCTGCATTTTATAAGTGGCAAGTGAAATGCAGCTCTTCTATTTGATCCTCTAGCCTATTTTGTTGTTGCACATACAGTATTTTAAAATCAGTTTAATGTGGTATAGACGAGTCTGTGAATAACCAAACACAGACACTAAGGTTGGTCTGTGACCAAAAGCTGCAACACAATTAGCCTGATTGCTGGTGCAGGCGGGACAGTTAAATATATCAAACTAGAACTATAAATCAGCCAAGCCGATATATAACAGCTGATAGTAGCTTACATATTGGTGTTTATATAGGCTTAAGTAAGAAGACTTTGCAGTACAAAAAAGCCAAACCAGGTGAGGAAATTTAGAAACAATTACAAAGTTTGTCCTGTACTATGGATTGCATAATACACACCACTGGCTTCACAATCAGCAAAAACATAAAGACCTGTGTGTCTGTCTGTTTCTACAGAAGCATTTTGGTTTTCTTTGCTTTTGGTTCTATTCTAAGGAGCTTTTGAATCATGTCTCTCTGGCAACTCTGGCAGCTGTCTGCCACAGTGTATTTTTTTGATACTACCACTGGGGATGACAAAGCAGAAAACGTTTTTATATGCTATTAAAGCAGTGTGTCTTCAAGCAACATTTAAAAATGCTGATCCGATATGAAGGCCATTTTACCTTTGAATGGGTCGTGCTTATCCTTCTCTCCAGGTTTGCTCTCAGTTTTTGGGGTGTGGATCTCCTCAGTGGGCTGCTGGCTTGGTGCTTGAGTCTCAGATGCCATCTTCCTCCTGCTCACAAGCGGAGAATGTCTTTCTGCAGGAGAGGTTTGCTCACCAGGCGGCTGCAGTAGAGGTGACCGTCGTGACAGGCCTGGGGACGTAGAGAGGCCCACAGGACTTGTGGAAAGCTTGCTGTTCAGTGTAGAAAGCTCCTTTTTCTGGGTTTGGTTATCAAATGATGATATGGCCTCTGAGGCCTCTTCACGTTTGGCCTTGGGTATTAGGATTTTGCGTCTGGCCCCAGAGGCCAGCTCTTGTGCAGTAGCAGAAGGAATGGGGGAAACACAATTTCTTTTCTTTAACAATGGACTAGCCTCAGGAGTTGGACTGGTTAAGGAGTCAGCTCTTGAAAATTCCTTAATCATAGAGCTGTCCTGCTGAATAAGTTGAAGATTATTCTGTTGTGTATCTGTGCCAAGTACACTTTTAGTGGGGAACTTTTGTACACTCTGCAAAGAACTTTTTTCTGTGGTGTGTTCTTCCACTTTGAATTTATCTAGACGTGTTTCAGTATTCCCTTGTTCAGTTTTACTGTTGAGTTTAATTTCTGGACTTAACTTTTGTATAAATGCTCGGTCTTTGTCCTGAGCAGGTTCATCTTTGGCATGCGCCAAAACGATATTTGACTCTTGACCACTGGCCTTTATAGGTGTTACTGTGAGTGGAGTCCCAGGTTCTGGAGCTGCAGCTTGTGTGCTGCAATTGGTCCTGTCAGTTTGTTATGTTAGTTGCCTGATAAAACCGTCCCATACAGTGTTTCGCCCTTTAAGTTTTTGGGAGGAGTGTCATCATTACTCAACTCAGTTTTCCTGTCAGATGTTGACATCTTAGCTTCCGGTTTACAGTTGCTGTCGTTATCTTTTAACTCCTCACATGTTTCTGTAGAACTTGTAGATGGACCATGTACAAAGTCAGCATGGTTTGGAATGGCTAATGTTGAGTCAAGAGCCTTTATTTGTGATCTCAAAAGCTCAGCTATAGATATGATTTTTGTCACTGGTTTTTGAATTTCTTGGAAATCTTGGAGTTGGGTTATGTTTGCGTTTATTGGAGTTTTTCTTAGGAGTGGGATTGCAGGCTCAGATATATCTAATTTCAGATTGTTTAAATCTGAACAAGTTTCCTCTGCCATTTCTTTTTGAGATGCATCCACAATGATAACATCAGTGTCTTTATGTGTTGCATCTTTGGTCTTTTCTGTTTCAGTGTTTTCATTACTATGTAGCTCCTCATTTGGGGCCACACTGTCAGACTGCACTAATAACTTACCTACCTCGTTACCTTCTACTTTTTCATCAACTTGTATTTCTGTCCCTTCAACAGTTTTAATAGCTGTATCAACTTGGCTTTGCTGGGTGCTGTGCGAAACGTTACACCCTCGGGTGTTCTCACCACCACCAGGGCTTTGGAGGGGTGACTTCTGTAGGTCTGTAAAAAGGGCCATATGGCTTTCAGTTGATCCCCTGGAATGATCCCATGTGTCCTGTGTCATTTTGTCAATGGCTGCCTGAAGACCATGGTTCAAAGAAGGGGTCTTGATGTCATCTGTTGTGGTCTCTCTCTCTGATGGAGTCTTTTGTACTGGTTGTGAGTCCATCGAAAACTCTTTGAGTGGAAGCTCAAGGTTGACAGGTTCATCATTCCTGTTCATCTTTGTATGGGCCTGTGTAACCTTGGGACATAATACAAGCAGAGGTTTCCATGCTGTAAATACTTATTCCTTTATCCCCGGCTATGCTGGACATGAATAAACACATGTAATTTTAAAAACAGCAACTGCGTAACCAGCAACAAACAGAATGGAATGGAAAGACCTTAGAGCAAAAAATAAAAAAATAAACCAGAGAAAAAGACTTAATATCCATGTTTCAGGCTCTCCTTTTTGCCATAACACTTAAGAACTGCATGGTCGTGTAATATATCTGGTATGTCTTATAGTGAAACGTAAGCATGGCACACTGCTCTGGTCAATATCTGCCATACAAGCATGTTTGTTGAGTGTCAAATCCATATTAAATCTGTTATTGAGCTGAATGCCTTTTTAAATTAGCATGAGAGGTTTCCTGTGTCATGTGTCATTCCATCATGGATGAGATAAGCCATAATATAGCTCAGGGGTCATTCTCTTTGCCTATATTCTGACCCTATGTCCTTTCAAAAAGGAACTGCAAAACTGACTTTAAAGTACTTAACTATTAATAGTTAATAATTATACAGTATACAGTCAAAGTTATCATAAAATATATTCCCTTTATCCAATTCTGACATTGTGAGGCCTTTTCACATGTAAGGTGGCTATTTTATGTTTAAGTGTGGCCAGAAAGGAATGTGAATCATTTTAAGAGGTGCTTCAGCTGTGCAGTGTTTCGTCTCAGCTCTCAGTGCCGTCAGTGTTAAGCCATGCAGCTGGAGTGATGGTGGATGATTACATAAGCAGTGGACAATAAAGATTCACAATCCAAATAGCAAAATAAGTGTGTTATTTGAAAACAAGCTAACAATGTCTTACATTATGTTATGTCAGAATATAATGTATTTAAGTTAGGTATATGCACTTAACTAACTTAACATCACCAATAAGGTCACCATCTCAACACCCTCCATTTACTTTCACTTTTAAACGTATTGGACAACATTAGACAACTACACAATTTTACTCTGGCAAAGAGTTAGATGAAAAGATCAATATTACTCTCATGTCTTTCGGTTTAAGTTCAGCTGAAATTGTATTGTTTGCAACAGCATACATATCTGCTCTAAGGCTACAGTCAGCAGCTGTGAGCTTAGCCGAGCATAAAGACTTGAGGAAACAGCTAGCCTTTCTCTGTCAGATGACAGTTGTTATATCTAATTTGATTAATCCATACAGTAATGTAAAAACAAAAACATCTTCCCTCTGTTTACAGTCTTTGTGTTCGGAGGAAATCCCCTTTATCTATGACCTATTATTACAGAGTGCCAAAGTATAATTTAAAATTTCTGCAAGGGCCAACTCTCGGACCTTTGAACTTACAATATCAAATGCACTGCATTAGTATACCTGCTGCGTCTGTCAACATGTGCGTCATTTAATTCTTGTCACACAGCGGGGCATACTTGTAAAAGATATAAATAGCTCCAGGTTGCTTGTGTTACTGATGAGGCCTGCGTTGGCAGCACAAAGCACTCATGAGCTCATGCAAAAAGGCTCACTCACCTCCCTCAGCAGCGCTGGCAGAGACACAGACACATTTTTTTGGCAGAGGCTTGTTTCCTTCTCAGACAGCTGATCTCCGGTCTGTTCACACGAACTCTGAGATAAAGCAGTGCTACTTTCACACGAAGCGTTCACTGAGTCTCTGTGTGTTAAAGATCCACTAGTGTTAGTATTTGACTTTTCTTCAACATCCATAACTGTAACATCTTCTGTTTTAGAAATGTCCTTCTTTGCTCTACTGAGGGGTTGTTGTGGATGTGCTGCTGCTGCACTTGTCTGTAATCGTGTTGAGGTAATGTTAGGACTTTGGTTCTGCATTTTCAAATAGTCTCCTGTATCTTTGCAACCAGTTTCCTTCTCATGCTTTGCAGCTTGTTGGCCTTCAGTTCCTGACACAGCATAACTTGTAGATGTAAGAGCAGCGGGGGGTACCAAGGCAGTGAGCTGTTGTTTCTGTGAAGGCACAGTTACCTCAGCACATGTGTTTTCACCCTGTGAAGGCCTGTCAACAAGCAATGCTTCCTCTGTTTCTGATCTTTGATGTTGTTCTGTCACATTTCTGGAGTCTGAATCCACAACTGAAGAACCAACAATGTTCTCTACTTCCATAACCTCTTCTGAATTCCCCTCAGAGGGCACTGGCTCTGTGCAGACCAGAGCTATAGAGGCTGAGGTCTCATCTTTTGGCCTCCCCCCCTCAGATGTCCGTTCTCCGGGCATGTCTGATTTTGCAACTTTTGCATTGTTGGAAATTTTAATCTTCTTTTTGACAAAGGGAGTTTTGGGTTGGTGTGCAGTAAAAATCTTCTGGGCAGAATCATATATATATGTCCCACTCTTGTTACCATTTTCAATGATGGCCTGTCCATTAGTTACAGTATACACTGCTCCATTAGGGATGGGGACTGGCTTTTCTTCCACCTCTTCCACAGTTGCCTCCTGCAACCTCGCCTCAGTCTCTGCAGGTACAGCCTGATGGTTCTCCTCACTGCCCTCATCCTCCATAGAGCTTGGCGTGCTGAGAAAGGCATCCATCGTGGAGCGCCGTTTCCTTTGTGTGCGGTCTGGACTGATGGTTCGTAGAGGCTCCTGGTTTTCTTTACCTTCCGCTTCCCTGCGTCGGTTTTCAGCCTTTTGTTTCAGCTTGGCAAAGTAGCGCTGGTGGATCTTGAACTCATTCATTTCGCCCACCTCCAAAACCCCAGAACAGGACACAATACCTTTATTGTTGCTGGCTGAAGCCTGGTATATAGCTGCATCCTCCACGCTGCAACTGCAAAGAGAAGTCAATTTAAGTTGCCTTAATTTAAATTATCAAGAAAATTGATTCTTGATAAAAACAAAAGTAAACATTGCTGGAAAAAACACTGTGTTGGTAAAACTGTGTTTAGAGGATAAGCTCTTTTTTAATGAGTTTACTTAATGTGGGAAAGAATGTTGAGGCACTCTTAGTATTTTAGACTACTTTATAGCATAAAAATTGCAATAATACACTATGGTTTTATTGCCTCAATCACAGTGTCCTTTTCTGTGTAGTAATTTCGATTACTTCATAAGAAGTCTTAACAGACTATCTTGAGGTCAGTAGTATCTTGGTAGAACAAGTGTGGTCAGATGTCATATCAGTGGTTTCCAAACATACATACTTGTAAATGTGCAGGGAATGGTTTTGTCCATTGCGGAATATCTCATATTTGGGCAGTCCACAGTATCTGTCTAACTGCACATCATCCTTATACCAAATAACTTGAGGAGAAGGGTGTCCTGCCACAAAAGAAAAAGATCTGGACATCAAACAATTTCTGTATCAACTAGAAAAGCCAACAGTTTAGTTAACAATTGCTTCACTGCAGTGTAGCTAGAGAAAACTGGATGCATTACGCTTGCCTTGTAGAGTATATAATATATTTAGAGTATAATATATTTAAGATGCTCAAGATGCATGAAACCAGGTGCATATTGAGCTTTTTTTCAGATGTAGTACATTATTTTGTGCATTCACTTTCTTTGAATTGTTACATTCCAATAAGAATTCTACTTAAAAAAAAATTCGTCAAGTACACTGTGTTATATTTATTATATCATGTTCACCTGTGAAACAGTGTTTACCTGTAACCACACAAGAGAACTTCACATTGCAATTCTCGGACACAGCTCTTGACTTCAGGGTTGTTTCGAAGGAGGGCTGCGTTTCCTCAGTTAACTGTGCCATCATGCTGCAGAGGGTGCTCCTGTGCAACAAAGCGGAGCTGGTCAGTCAAGTTGTAAAGTTATTTACAATCCATACATACTGGATTATTGTTTAGTGTAAATGGTCAGTTTTCTGACTTAAGAGAAAAAGGGTAACTTTTAGCTTTAGATTACAGTCCGCAACGTACAACATAATTACTTTTGAGTTACGGTGTAATCTTTTGTACTAATGGTGTAACGATACAGTACGTAACAGTACATATATGTAGATACTGGTAAATAAGAAGTTATGGAATTAGGGGGTAACAATTCTGAATTATACAGATAACTTATACTAGTTATTTTTTAACTGCTGTGTACATATTCTGTTATTACAGGGTATGTATGACCTACTGAGAAATAATCTGGACCTGTCGGTGAAAATGTAGTGATGACTGCATTACTTAATAAATCTGATGTGGTTTTATTTAAATGACCTCATTACCAACAAACAAGAAAACTACATTGCCCCTTTATAATTATGGTGTACTAATGGTGTAATCCTTAATTATTACCCCGTTCTTCCATAACTTCACATCTTGTTACCCAGTATCTACATATGTGTATTGGTATACGTACTGTATTGTTACATCTTTAGTACAAAAGATTACACTGTAACTCTGAAGTAATTACGCTGTACGATGCAGGCTGTAATCTAAAGTGTTACCAGAAAATGTATTGTCTGGCTTTATTTATCTCACGACCTTGACCCATTGCCTCTAGGTGGCATTTTTTTTACATTTAAATACTGAAGTTCAGTTAATGCAGCTTGGAGACAATTTCTGATTAAACAAAGACGTAGTGATGTCACCCAGGATTTTATAAAAATGATGTAAACAAACGTTTTGAGCCAGATCTCCACAAGTTTAGTTGTTGCTGGCACGAGACAATCCAAATGTAGGTTGGAGCCTGGGTGGAGCTAGTTATGATTGAGAATTACTTGGAAAAAAAAAACACCTCACCGACTACAATCTCTCATTATACTGTTTAATTTCTCCAAATGTGTACTGATTTAGTCATCAAAGTCAAGCTGGAATTTATGCCTTCCATCACATTGATAACACAAACTAAAACTAGACTATGATTTGTCTTTAATGAGTGTTCTTGGAGGCAGTTACACAGTCTTATTTTTACAGACCACATAAAAAAGAAACAAAAGAGGAGTGTTTCTTGTAATCTTTGACCTCTGCAGTTCAGTATGAATAGTAGTTATTTGGCATGTCCTTAGAGAAATCTAATTAGTCCATATGACATTAATTATAAAAATGAAACACATCACCATAAATATAATGTTTCAAGAATATTGAACCATTATAGCATGTGGAAATGTGGAAGAAACATCACACACATACTGTATAATAACAGAAATGGAGGTGGGCATGCATATAGTGAGAACGTATGCAGTTAATCCATGTCTGGTGTTGACATCCATTTCAGTGTTAGTTCAGTGCACATTTAAAGGATACTGTTACGCTTCACTGCATGTTACTCATGATTAAGCAAACTAAACCAGACACTAATACTAAAGAAAGTCACACTTAAATAATATAGTGAATAATATGTGACTTTCAGCACGTACTGCTGTTCATCTTGTTGGTATTCAGTATTGAGTATTAAGTTTTGAGCTAAAAAGTTTTCATTTTTGCAACTCCTGCTTGAAGCAATACCCATGTCCATTGTCGCAAAACAATCTTCTATCATTTAGCAGTGATAACACACAAGCAATTGTGTTGTTGAGGGCCACAAAGGATTAGAGGGAATCGAAAGTCTAGAAACCAATAATGCTGCATATCAAATAACATGAGAGTTAAGGCATCCTGAAAAAAAACAAAACAAAGAGAAAAAAGTGGGCATCAGGGCACTATTAAACTATTTCTGTATGATAGTTGCTTTGGTAATGTTGCTGTAAAGGCTGCCCTGTGCCTCTGGAAAGAAGAAGAAAGAAGAAAAAAATGTATTTATTATTATCTCAAAAGAATCTTCATAGTCTATCAACAGAGTTATCATTAAAGAGTTGGTCCAAAAGGTCAACACCCGTTGTTCAATGGTCAATCTTTCCACGCAGAAGCTGTTGTTTGTGTATTGCTTGATGTGAAATGGGGCCCATGCTGCATAACTGAGATGCTGTTCTTAATCAGCAGTTTATTTAAACTCTGGTGCCCATGGCAACAAACAAAGAAATAACACATCACACACGTACACCCCAGGTTAGGATAATTTAGAAGTATTGATGTATTATAGAGCACTTGTTGAACTAACAGAGTTGTAGCACAGCTTACTGTGTTAGTGTTGAATCCGTACCTGTTTTCTGGCCTCACGTTAGAGAGGTAGCTGCAGCCACTAGGCCGGCTACTCCCATTGAAATCATCCCCATTGCTGGATCTTCCATTGCTAGAAGAGGAGCGTGTCATTGTCCTCCGTGAACCCATTTTCCACCAGAAAGAGGAATATTCAAAGGGGAAAAAAAGTTCTTCACAAGAAATAAAGTTTGTGTTGTCTCTTCTGTTTTGCCTTCCCAGAGAGATTTATAAGAGCTAAAGAGGAAGTAAAAAAACATGAACAATGATAACTTGACCACGGACAAAACAATAGAAAGTTATATTACATAAACTTGAATTCAAATTTAAGATAAAAAAAGACACTTTGTGTTTTTCTATAGTTATAGTAAAAACACAAATGTCAGCAGGAGATGCTCTGTAAAAAGACACCACTGTCCTATTCATTATTTACATAAACAATAGTCTGTTTTATACAGTTAACTCACCATTCACAAGTTTCTTTCCCTCCTTTGACAGATACCCCACAGCACTGACTTAAGGCACTGCAATTTCCAATCAAACATGAGCATGCGTAGGCTACTGGACTATTTATAGTTGGCCTGCAAATAGGCACAAGAGCACATCACACTTTCCAAAACTTGCCTTTGAACCCTTTTATAAAATACAAAAAAAAAAAAAAAAGCCATGTAGAGAAAGGTCTGTGCAGAAACAAGAGAAATCCTTCTGAAGAAGAAAATCCACAAGATCATCCCAGGTTTGATAGTTCCCCGAAAAGGAGAGGATTAAAAAAAAACAGGGTGAAGGGCTTTTTCTAGTCTGTTACCAATGGAATACATGCACTCAGAGAAGAGAGAGACCACTTGTGTGGTCAGAAGCTCTGTGTACAGACTGTAGTAAAGAATCATATGAGCCTGTCAATCAGAAAAATGACGCCCTCACTTTTAGGTCCATTAATACGAGCAGTACATTCTTTCAGTCATCCAGTCACACGAGGTTACTTTCCAAACATAAAAGTCTGGAGTTACAATGACCTCTGTTTACCAGAGGACTTGTTGATGCAGAGTTATAAGCAAAACCTTACAAAAACAGCACAAATTGGCACCTTTTTTTTTCCCATTCCAAGCACTTACTTATATTACAATATAACATAAGATGGTGAAACCTACCAAGCTCTCTGGCATGCATTGTCCAGTGATTGACAATTGAACTGGATCCCCAAAGGAAAAGCAGTAGGAATAGAACAGCCTTATATAGGCAGATCCCACTGACTGCCAAAGAGCTCTTATCTTTACACAAGCATGCACGTACACACTCTTTCTCTCTCACACACACACATCAGTGATTAACACTTTAATTAGTCTTTTTGTACTTATATATAATGGATTGATTTTTTAAAACATGATTTGTACAAATGGGTAAGAAGATACCCATTTGACATTTTTGTTTCTCATCAAACAAATCATAATTAAGTAAAAGGATTAATTACCTTGTAAAGCTGAGAACAAAAATAATCTATTTTTTGTAATCAGACTCTCCTTTAAGAATGTTTTATTTTCACCTTGAACTTCTTTTCGCCTGGTAAACAAACTGCAAAGCCGCCAAATCTTTTTTGAACTGATAGCAACTGGCACCAGTAGGCCTACTACTATGAATTACAGCTTCCTGAGTGTGTTCAAATCAACTTCAAAGGTATCAATCTGAATTTTCTCTCAAGTTACCACATAGGCTTGTCATGTTACACATGCCTATGTGTCTTCTGATCAGCTATTTAAATTTTTTTGTTCCATCCATCCATCATGGCCTTCTATAACTCTGACACTTTCCGCTTTTCTTGCCAGGGAGGTGATATACTGACTCAACTTAATGACCAAGATTAACTGAAGAATTAAATTTCAAAATAAGAGAGAAATTCTGACAACGTACATGTAATATATTCTTATAAAAAAATATATATATATTTAACCCCCTGAAAAAGTCAGTAAAGCATTTCAGAATGGATTCCATGAGCGATTCCTATACAGCTCCCCCTTCACACACACGGATACACACTGTAGTGATAGACATGTATGGGCTGCAGAGCCTTGTGTGTGACCGGTTGCCAGTCCTCTGTGAAGGGGCTTGAAAACACAGTTGCCTCAGCATGGTCTGGATATTCTTGTCGGGGTGTATACAGAGAGATCAAAGCACAACAGGGTGTGGGGACACTACAGAGGCTGGGGAGACTCTGTCGTGTGACTCTATTTGACAGTCTATCCTCTTTGAGAATGTTATCCAACTGCTGATGGTTGGAAAGGGATTTCCTAATGCTGAACCATAAATATCAAGATACAGGGAAATGTAAAAATGTAAAAAGACCTTAATTTTTGCTCGTGAAAATAGGACCAATGGAAATAAATCCATCCATCCACATAAAGCTTTTCTTTGAAGTTTTGTTTAATGTATTTTTGCTATCCATGTCATATTATTTCCACTTTCACTAAAACAAATAATCACGTCAGTGTTTTAACAATCCCTCTCCAAACTTGAATTCAGATGGTGTGAGTTGGAGCCATGATTTCAACATTGCATGACCGTTGCCTCATGCTTTGCTATGTATAGCACTTTGCTAAATCCTGTTGTGGCCTAGTCTGGCAGATTTATAGAGGGGTTACAGATGATGCTGACTGAGATCACTACCTCTGGCTTTAGTGATACCATTATCTGTCTTTTGCAAACATAATTGTGCACTATCAAAAATAGATGGAGGTTACTGCAGAGCAAATGTAAATTGTTATAATCAGTCATTAGAACCAGAGTGATAATGGACAAGCACAGGTCTGGATGACGAAGAGTGTGTGTGTGTGTGTGTGTGTGTGTGTGCGTGTGTTGGTGGACATAACGATAAACCAAAAGGTATGAAGCAGGTTGGACAACTGTCAGCTCTTCAGTTTCACTGTGGCATTCATTTACCAGCTCTAGACGTCTAATAAATAGTGACCTTTCAGCATGTGGTCATGAACCTTTCACTCAGAACTTCCTCTTGTCCCCGGCTCTTTCTTCAGTCGTAATGTCAAAACTAAAAGAAAATCATGAAGTTTTTGGAAAAACCAGCCTCACCAATCTCCCATCGTTTTTGTTCATTTTAGTGTAACTGGCCTTCGGAGAACACCTGCCTTCAGCCTCCAGTAAACCATTATGCCCTTGACTCATGCACAATGTCAACCAAATGAATGTCAGTGTAGTGTCATTTTTCTGTGCAATTAAACAGTCACAACGTTGTTGTCGCAAACAGGTACTGTCTGTATCTTCTCACTAGGTAAAGTAGCCTACATGACGGATTTTCTATTGTTTGTCAGCTAACTCTAGAGCATGGACAGGTATTGTGGTAATCTTCAGAAAAGGTTTTGAGGTGATGTAAACTTGGCCCACTTTAAGCCAATTAAGTGAACTCCAAAATGAGGCCAATATGAATGAGTGTTTCCTCTTGTTCAGTTCTGTTGGCTAATCAAGTGGTTGAGTGCATTCATATTATTTTGTAAAATCAGCTGATGAAAAACATTTCATACAAAAGATGCTCCTAATGATCTTTAAAGAGCCCTTGCCCTATTATTATTATTATGGCCACAGATTTGTAAGAATAAAAGCTAAATTGGGAATTAACTGTTTGATGTTGCTGCCTGTGGGGCCAACAGACTCTTGAGATAAACCACTACTATTAATGCTACGCTAAACACCAGCTGCATGGGGAACACACTGTTCTAATCCAACTGAGATATTACAGTATCCAGATCCAAGATGGTTTGAGGGGTGAGGTGTCGACACAGACAGGACAGGGAGAGGGGCACACCAGTGGACCAGCGGGGTAGAGGCCAATATTACTGGGGTTTTGATCACAGATTAATTCATCTTTCCAGGGCTGGGGCCAAATTAACATGTTTATAGGACCAAAATTGCAGAATATATACTGGTACTGACTTTAACACCTTTAACTCTCATAACATCTTGATATAAATCTGTAATCAGTTCAGTGAGACCCGGATGGCCCTGTCGTGAGTGTTTACTGGCAGGGTGGCCTGGTGCCAAGTGTACCCCGAAACAGCCTCCCACACGCATGCACAGTTGGACAGCAGATTGTTTTGATGTTTGACAGGTCTCTGTGGAAACTGAGCTTGGCTTTGTACAGCCGTCTGGCCTGCTGCTGAGGTTGTGACATCATCTTCTGGATATTCATACCAGTGTCAGCTCCAAGGAAGCAGAAACAGGAGAAGACTTGACTTCCAAGGACAGCTGTGTGCCCCACACACACTTTCACACACACACACACACACCCACAGAGATCATGACTTTTACGTTGCACTGCACTGCTCACACCGCCTTCAGCCAATCACATGCACAGACTGTGAGCATACAGTATGCTGTCCTATATTGACTAATGACCCTTAGTTAATATAGTAGCGTACTCCTGATTATACAGGAGCTGGCGATGCATGGGATCAATTTGGCCTGTTTATATTTTTTATTTCAAATGTACTCCTCACAGTCGGCAAAATGGAATATGAACTTTTTGTGTTGGATATTAGACTAAAGATGTTGAAGATGTTTTGCAAAGCAATCTCAGTTTACAGGTTTGTGACATATTTGTTTTGTTCTTTGCTGCACACAATTAAGGTATAAAAACCTTTTTCTTTTTTTGTTCTATTAACAAAAGCACACATTTAGTGTGTGGAAGATTAAAGCCCTAAACATCTTTCTAGTGTACCATCGGTTAACTTCATCTATACTACACAGTATAAATAAACACCGATGTGATTTTTCTGCAGGTGGAATTACAGTGACATCTAGTGGTAACAGTGAGAGCTCTAAAATAACACCAATGTACAAACTAGGGTTGAATTTGGCCATAAGATGCTCAAAAATCACCTCACTTGTCTTGTTTTGAATTGGATTAAAACACCTGAGTATTTATACAATGTAAAAAGAAAAACAGTTCGAACAGCTAGAAATTTTGTCATTTCATTTACAAAAACCAATAATACTAACTGAAGCCTTTAAACAAGATGAGACCATCAATCTTTAGCAT